TGTTTTATAATGTTGTGGTTACTTGCATGTGTTTCACTTATTGGGATAGCCGCGTGATCCTACCAGTACATTGTGGTTGTGTACTGATGATGCACTTGCTTATTCTTTGTTGAGTACAGGGCATCTTTAGGCGGCTATTGATAGACCTCAGCTGGGTGACTATTGAGCGTGACCGGATTCAAGGGTGAGCCAGTTCGTTTTGGGCTGCCATGGATCTTTCTTGTTTAAGTCCACTATTTTCGGACTCAGACTATTTGTTTAAGGTGTTGTTTAGTTTCGGGGTTGTACTCCTTGTTCTTAGACTTGTCGTTAGTAGAGTTTTGGTACATTGACTTTCAGGTTCTAGGAGTTGTTCTTCCGTTTTAGTTTGGTTAAGTTATTTGTTTAAACCTTTGGAGTTTATGAGAACTCTATATAATTTCTGCATTTAAACTTGCTTCCGTATCTTTAAATGCATTAGTTTTAAAACTTGTGGTCCAAAATAAATGAAAGAAATTTGTGTGGCTGTTAATCATTTCATTAAGGGTAAAATAGACATTTTATAGTTAAATTGTTACTACTTTATATAGAAATGTGTCATTCTGTTTGAGACTGACTAAAAAGGAAAGTAAGTCACATAAATTGGGACAATGGGACGGGACGGATGCAGGGTGAGACGGGTTCAAGACTATGTGAGGCGGGGTGGGTTGAAGTGATTTTTTTAAAAATAATGTGGGGCCGGACGGATGCAGCGTGGGACGGGTTTAAGACTATGTGGGGCGGAAAGGGATGCGGGGTGGGTTGAAATGATTTAAAAAAAAATTAATGCAGGTTGCAGGTCTATGTGATTTTACGTGGATTCAAACTTAATTTTAACTATTTACGTGTATAAAAGTGAGAACATTATCTATATAATTTTGAACGAAAGGTGTTTAATCAAGTTCTTGTAATTCCAAAGTATCTTACCTTGTACGTGCATGATGCAACACACAAAGCTTGAGACATATCGTGGTAGAAGGGTCTGGGGATTCATTAAACTTTCTTTGTTGAAAAAATAAATTATTATATAAATAGGGTGATTTTTTGGATTTGTATATATATATAAATCTAAAACTTCTATTTAAAAAAAAGGGTGGATTAACACTTACGATTGTATATCGTGATATCATCATCTCTATTTATTCTAATATCAAATATAACAATAATAACATCCCTTTCCAAATAATTTTGTTATGAAAATTCTTAAGAACATGATGGTTATGATACATGCACCAAACTGCATGGATCCAAAAGAAATAGAACAAAAAAAATGATGTAGTTTTGTTCTAATTCCCTTAACCTAATTAATTTCTGGGTCCCCTTTGATTAATTAGTTTTCTTTTGAATTATTTCTACTGATTAACATGAGATATGCATATAACACATACGATGTTTGAAAATTGAGTAGTATGTTAATAAGATGTTAGTTATGGAACAATTGGATCTTTGAACTTTCATATTGGGCCTTCTCATGGTATAACTCAGAAACTTTTTTAGAATTTAATTTGTTGTATAATTCTTGATAAATATTTATTATTCTGATTAATCTAAATTTGTATATGTGAGTGCAACACGTCTTCAAGATTAAGTATATGTGAAATTCATTTTTTTCTTATAATGGTGAGACTCGATTCTAGGATCTCTATTGAGTGACCTTCTTTAATTAATTTTAGCTAAATATATCAAATGCTATCACTCTAAGACATGTCTAATATTAAGTCAACTTTAGTTTAAATATTTGATGAAATTTATTTGGCAAATTTTGAGATTTGAATCACCATGTCATGTGACCCATGAGGGCCACACGTGAATTCACCCTCAAAATAGGATTCTACGTTTTGAATCACTCACTAGCCTTATTTATTGATGGATGAATTTATATTCATTGGTTGACCAAGACTTATAACATAAATGTACTCATCTACGATAACAATTATACCTAATATAATCTCATAAATGAGATATGTAGAGAATATGACATATACAAACGTTGCGTCTATCTTTATAGGATAAAAATGTTATTTTCGATAGATCCTTAACTCGAAAAGAAAAAAGTATCGATAAAATTTGGATGAGTTAGCTACCTTTTGGATCAATATTTAAAGTTGTCTTCGTTTAATTTTTAAAACGTATTCACTTTTTAGGGTAGTAAAATAATTCAAATTAAACTACTCCTAACTAAAATAGGATAATTTCTAATATAATATGCTAGAACTCTATGACTCTTTTCTTGAATTATTATTTGTAGAATCTTGAACTCACATTAATAGGGGACTATGCACCCCAAGTTTTCTTCCTTCAATTCTTTTTAGGTTTAATATTTGTTAGGAGTCTTTGTTTTGGGGAGAGATTTATATGGTCAAATTTTTGTATAGTGACAACATTTATTTGAAAGTTATGGCTATATAATGAATGTCATTTTTGTTATAGAAAAGTAGAATGAAATATGAGAAATCGA